TACCTCCTTCATTCCTATCAATTCATTCAATCAGTCATTCAATTCTAAAATTTCCACCTAAGTGGTATATCTTTGTCTTAAACCTTCTCTCTATCCCCACACTATCTTAATTCCAGTCTTTACCATCATTTGCTTGAAAAATTGCAATCATTTCCTGCTGAGAATTTGCATTTCCACTCCAGATATGCTAAATCACATCCACATGTCAAAAAGATCCCCATGTTATTCTTAGATACCCCCTGTTTCTTAGCCCACTGCCTTCCCCTAGCTAATCATGATCCCTCTGTGAACTAGCTAACCGATGCCCCATGTCAGAGTAAACCAGTCTCTGACAACCATGGAGTCCATAGGTGCAATTTTATGATTATAATATATAAAGATCATAGTAAAATCCCAGAAGATGGAAGAAATAAGAGAGAAAGTAAAATAAAGAATTCAGACACATTTTATGGTAGCATGCTCACCTCCATGATGGCCATGATCTCAGCAGCCAGAGAGAGGAGGAGGAGAGACTATATTTCTAATCACAGCATTTATACAATTTCAGGGACGTGCAAACCCCCCTGAATACATCATAATGGAAAGGGGTTGTATAATCAGCAGACATCAATTGGAGGGGGACAAGCTAGGGATATACTTGCAATCAGAGGGGGCGGCACTAAGAGTACACATGTGACAAGATGGGCAGACCCTAGATTCAAGATGGCAGCCTAACCTTGGTCCTCCTTGAGTTGACTCGATCTTGTTTCTGGGCTCTCCTTCAGGGAGACGATCTACTATCCTTATCAGAAGGGAGTGGGCCCTACTTAGAGTGGGACAGATTATAGAGTCTGTTTGCACTAGATGGCTGAATGCACCCAGGGAGATAACCTCTAAGCAGCTGACGTTGACCTCCAAGTGTACAGTCATTTAAAAGCAGCATCTTAGGTCTGGCATATATTTGGGGAACAACCTGGGGAAAACCTTTCTGTATCTCACAGCCCCACAGGATGGCCTAGCTGAATTCAACTTTTTCTCGGAGGTTGATGAATATGTTCTATGAGTCTGTGGTCCCTTGAGTGGGACAAATTCCTGTCATTCAGAGGAGACAGCTTTGAGATGCTGTGGCCCTCAAAAGGACAGTTCTAAAGTGAACTCAGGAATGGAGGTGAAAAAAAGAAGCCACCAAAGGTTTTCTGAAATTCCCCCCTTATGGATACATACGAATTACCTGGTGATATTGTTGATATATGGATTATGATTCAGTCTATCTGGGTAGAAATGCTAATTCTCAGCAGAGAGTCCAACAGGAATGAACCTGTTGGAAGTTCTACAATCAGAAGAAGCTCTCTCTACCCTCACAATGATCCAAGAAGATATCATCCCCCCCCCAAAAAAAAAACAGATGACTACATTTCTACCCTGCTTTAAAACATTTTACTTCTAAGGATACAACAAAGAGAAGATGCTCAATGAGACTGATTGCCACAGTGGCTGCAGCAGTAGGCTCAAAGAGAATGATTGTTTCACTCTGCTGTTTCACATAACATCGCTCTGAGTAGGCAGCCATTCAGTGGCCCCTAACAACATCCCAAACCCTAATCTAAAGGTTTGAAACAAACCTCCCAACCAAAGCAGCACTATGGAAGGGAAGCCTAGCAATGATTATCTGTAAAGATTACATGCAAAAGACTCCTAGAGAAGTCCATTCTACTCTCTAACATGTGTGTGTGTGTGTGGGGGGGGGGTCACCAAAGTAAGAATCAACTTCAAGGAAATAGGTTTGGTTTTTTTGTTTCTGTTTAGGGTGAAGTGGGATGCAGGAAGATCACAGGCCAGTGGGTGCAGGGTCAAGTGGATCCAAGGTCAGTGGAAAACTGGCAGGGTGCCAACAGCTCTCTACACACAAAATCCCAGCCAAGTTCCAGCGAGGAGGAAGGTGAAGTGCCAGGGAGATGCCCAGTGTCTCTCTTATGCTACCGTGTACTCACTCACTGTAAAGGTGGGGCCCCCCGTAAAAACCATGACTTACACAAACTATCCAAACCAAAAACCTTGCCAAAGAAACACATACGTACTGTTGATTAATAACAGCTACAAAACTGCATCCTTTGTTGGCTCAGAGACTGTTGCCTATGGCACCACCCCTGTGGGTCTCTCTTGCAGGTCTATCCTTTAATAAATGGCTCAATGCAATTTTTGACTTCCTAGCCTTTTTGCCGCATGGTAGGCACTTGGAAACCAACAGGAGCTCCGCGGGTGAAAGGCTGGGCTTTCGACTCCCTTCAACAGTTCCAGTCTCAGAAACTCTCAGGAGTCGTGTTGAGTCAGCATTGACTATCATGGCAGTGAGTTTTAGCAGTGCGTCTTGTTGACTACCTGAGTCTCTGAGAGCCAACTGTGGCTTGAAAATATGGACAACTCTAAAAATCCTCCAGGTTGCGCTCCATTCTTGTGTGCCTTTTGTAGATTTCACAGTTTTTATTTTTATTTATTTATTTTTAATCATTAGGGGCTCATGATCATATAACTCTGATCACAATCCATACATACATCAACTGTGTATAGCACATCCGTGCATTCCTTGCCCTCATCATTCTCAAAACATTTGCTCTCCACTTAGCCCCTGGCAGCAGCTCCTCATTTTCACCCCTCCCTCCCCGCTCCCCCCTTCACTCTTTTTAACTCTGGCTTGAGACCCAAACGATCAACTGGCTCCAGTCGGAAACTGCCACAGCTGGAAAAGCAGAAAATAACTTGGTAAGGGGATACATTTAAACCGTTAACACTCCGTCTTTTCCCTTTTTAAGTAAACTTTTGGCGGAGGCGAGAGAAGCGGTTTGCGACTGCCCAGAGTAAAGATGGCAGCAATAGCCTCCCTGCCCATATCAAAAATGGACACGGATTGTGACGCAACGTCCGGTAATCCCTCACTCGCCCCACCCCGCCAGCCCGGAAGCCCGTCCGAAGCCCATTCACCTGTCAGAAGCTCCCTTGCGATTGGCGGTGCACATTTGCTGACTCCGCCCCGGAAATGCGTCATAGAACG